AAAAACAAAGCTAAAATGTTCTTGATTAACCACACTCTATATACACTCTATATTTAAAATTCTCATTCGGGTCAAATGGTAATAAAGGACAAAAACCAAGCAAATGGATTAATGGTTGAAACGTAGCAGCAACGTGTGAAGTTAGAGATTAAAAAAAAAGAAAAGAAAGAAGAGAGCTACATGTCTGCGTGAGACCAAAACAAAGCAGTGAAATTGATTTTTAAAAATCCAGCTTCAGAGAAAAAACGTATTTCAGGACATGGTGAAAAAAATTGTTTGCCATTATTTTAACGATGGAGCATTAAAGGTGTTTGTTGTGCTCCTTTAAAAGGGCGTGGGTTTTTTCTCCCACAAGATTTCGCCCTTGCTGGGGGCTATTATAAAGGTTTTAGAGCTATTATTGAACTGGGTTGTATGTAAACTTGTTTTCACTACTGAAAAAAAAATATCACAAACTAGCCATAAGTCAAAATTTAATTATCTCAAAATCTTAAGGCACTGAGAAAATAACTTGAAACTCAAGGCTTTTATGTCGACATTTGGAGACGATAATGTGAAATTTTGAGTATGATGAAATGTTGTTTTTTTTAATTTATGAGACACTTCTAGCTTGTGCCAGCAGGTGGCAGTGAAGTAGTGGAAATGCATTGAAGGGCTTTTTACAAGTGTTTGTTTTCCTGTGGAAATCACCCTGCTCGCTGACCCTCACCACTGTGCCATCAAACCTTACTCATGTTGGGAGTGGTCAGCTGCACGTGTTTTCATCACTATTGCACAACAACAAGTTAGTCACTAGTTTAATTAAATGCAATATCTAAAAACTATTATTCATTTAATGTCAATGTTGGGCAATTAAAATTAAAATGCTGTCTTTCGTCACATACTAATATTAGATGAAAGATATCTCTCTGTTATGTCACTGAAACATTTCAGTCTACATCCACTGCCTTGAAAGAAGAAGTCTTAATCTGTGCAGAGAGATCGGAAAGGTAGTGTACACAGTGTTCACGAGCGCTTACTCAAAAATGAGATTTGTTTATTTCTTTTGGCTGACATAGCTCATTAGATTGCACACTGACTCTTTAAACAGTTTTCACAGAGAAGAGAAGACAGTTTGAAGTATATAGAGCTTATTTCTGGTTCCTATCACACAAGTCAGTGGAAAGACGATAACGCTTTGCAGCATCTTCAGCAGAGGCAGAAAGTCCAGCTACCTGACTGCTATGCTCGAGGACAGATTTGAGGTATCATTTTGTAGTATTCTACTCCAACTGGGAGGGAAATAGCTCAACTTTTTATTTCCCCACATTTGGCATCTTCAGTGACTTTATTATCGTTTTAAACATTAAACTTGGAGTAGCTCAAATTCTGAAAATAAAGACCAGCTCTCACAGTTTGGTTTTCTGCACTCTTACTCGTGGCACGCTGGAATAATAAACAGTTTTATTGTTTTAACATTGTCAGGCAGCCATACTTTGCCTTTTCACGTGCAGTGAAGTATTATATGGCAACACCTGACTAATGTCATAATGTTTAGCAGTCTCTAAAAATATGACTGTGGAAGTGGTGCTGAGAAGAAGAAGGTTTAGTAAATAAGGGGTTTCTGCGGTGCGTTCAGGCACACCTTTATGTGAGTTTATCTCTAGGCTATTGTCTGTGTATGATGCATGGTTTCTATTAAGTGCAGCTGGGACATTTACAGTATGCAGCACAAATCTATTCAGTATGAACATCAGGTTATGATGGAAAACCGAACGGCTACGTCTCTGTAGAACCTTTACTACAACACACGCTTCACACGTTTTTAAAAGAAAAAGCACCTCTCCTGCAATGGAAAAATACCTCTTTATTCGATGTGCATGCCAGGGTCTCAGAAATGTCGGCTCCTGGTGGGCAGGCAGTGACAACAGCAGATAAGCTGTTCCCATGTTAAGCCCGTTTTCCATATCCTTTATCAGGACGAGGATTATTAAATATAAGTTTTAAACAATTTCTTAACAAATTCCAGGATTTTGGATTAGAAACTAATTGACCTGATGTTATCTGGTGTTGGCTAGCTGCAGGAAATTCAGCCCAGATGTGAGGGACAATTGATTGTCTCACTTTTAAGAGTCACTATCAGTGTTCAATGAAAAACATTCTCACACATGGCAAAGGATTGCATCCGTTACTGCAGAATTAAAGATCCAGGCAAATCATGTGAATATGACTGTAGGCGCATTTTTATAACAGAGAGGGATGAAGGAGACTTTACATTTGGGCCCATTCACATGATTAGGCCAGGTACTGCATCACAGAGCTGAATATTTATTTATTCTTGGCATGCGAGCCGAGAGACGGTGGAATAACGCAGGTAGGGTTATACCTTCAGGCAGGCAGACTGAGTGTGGTGTTACAGGAGGCTGGCGCTGCACTACGACAGTTGTTGGGTTCACTCCAGTGCAGCTGGAAATGAGACACTTATGCACATAACAGACGCAAACGACGGCACTGGCTCCTTTGCCCGAAGTGGATGGAGATGAAGTGGTCTGCCAGGACGCTCAGGCAGCAGAGCCCGGATTGATGGTCAGATGTTTGTTCTAGTCCCTATGGAAAAAAAAAAACAAAAGCACAGTGTTTACATGATCAGGGACAGAGAGTGGGCCGAGCCAACTCTCCGAGGGAATTCAAAACACTGTATCCCAAAAGGGCACCATGAAGAGAAAAAAGCTGCAGTCCATAAATGGATAAAGCAGGAGTGAGGTTATTATCGGGAACAATGGAGCTGCTGACTGGGATCTGGAGCTGTCAAAGAAACAAAATGAATTCATTCAAATGAATCTAGCCTTTACATGTCGATCGACTGCTCTAAAAACTCCAATCGTTCTCATTTCATCGTGCGGCCCGTGCGTCAGGCTACTTTGTTGCGGTTAAGCAGTAAATGTCTGAGATTTAGGGTTGGCCGCTCTGTAAAAGATGCAGCCCTGTGATAATAAATCAATACAGCCTAATGCTAAGAGAGCGTAAACATTTATCTCACACCATTTCCCAGTGTAAGTGTTGAAGTACTGAAGTGCCTGTGAAAGGTGAAAGGACACTTATTCCTGGCTTTTATCCTGCCAACAGTTGTCAAACGTCAAATGAGCTCATAGCTGCATTAGCACAGCAGGAGAAGGAGGAGGAGGAGAACCATCCAACTTGAAATTTAAAGTTAGACAGAGAAGGGTTACACAGATTACAATAGCCAAAACATTTTAAAATACTCCTCTCTGAGACCAACCGCAGGATTTAAAGCTGTTACGCTCTTAGACGATGCAGTTTCTCCAGATGCGTTCGTGACCTCGCAGACCGGCGATGTGCCGCATCCAGCCTTCTACTTCAATCGTTTTTCATTTCTAACCTGAGGCTTCCCACGGTGCTCTCACTAAACAAATGGTTTCCTTTGTCATTATTAAAGGACAGCTGAGAAATCTCTCAGCTGGTCAAATAGACACAGACAAAAAAGTGCGCAGAGATCGTGTCTCGGTCGATAAGTAAGATCATTTTAGTGGTCTAACAAACATTAAAAACAGACACATTTCTGAAACATCAAACACTGGCATTGCATGCTATCACTCATATCTCATATCCTGTTGTGGGACTGACATTTACACCCGTGGTCCGAGAAAGTAAAGCCTCATTATCCAAACTCCCTGTGAAGCAGATGCCTCATTTAGCTCATGTGACTCGGTTTTCTCTCTTTCCTGTTTTCTGACTATATGTAGACAAAACGAATTAGCCAAGACCCCAAATACAGATGAACAGTCTGTACATAGTCAGATCAACCTCTCCACCCAGAGATTGCCTCACGATCCCTGACACTTGTTGGGGATTAGAACTGTCCGAATAAAGTCAATAGTACACGAGATATTTATCTCTTCTGGAACTGTGTTTTAATCAAATGGTCTTCTTAGATAAATCAGACATTCCTGCCCACCATTAATCATGAGCTGAACTAAGCCTCACAGTTTACAGTAAAATGAAGCATGCCCATTCAAATCTGAATAACAGCCTCTTGGCTTCAGTCCAGCAGCAGCTTTTTTGCTTCAAATGTTACATGTGCCATTCACATGTTTGTGTACGCATTGTCAGGAAGCTCGGGACGCTCTTGCCAAAGCAACTGCGACACACATGCATATTCGAGTCCGTGATACATTTATCATTACAGCATAGAGGGAGAATGTGTTGCAAATGTTCTTCATTAACTGATGTGAGTGGAATTAGAATCAATTGTAATCCAATAAATTGTTAAGACATGTGCTTTCTAAAGTTTCCGTATTTTATAATGTCTCCCAAGTGGTTACTAACTGCTGCAGTTAATTCTGCTTATATTATGAGGCAGAAATATCTTCGGATTTCCTCACGCTTCATCCATATCATTCACTATCATAAAAACGTACCTACTCACACTTTTCTGTTTTATTTTCCCCTCTTTCTTCCTTCCTTCCTTCATTTTTCTCAGATATCTCACAGATTCACTTTTCACTGCACAGCTCCATCATTTCCCACTCCCTCCTCTTCTCCCTCCCACCTTTCCTCCTTCTCTTGCTCTCGCTGCGCTTCTCACAAACTGAGGTGGGTGTTTTTACACTCTCTCCCTCCTCTCCCTTCACTCTTTGCTCTCAGGCTGCAATGAGGTTAACAGCCCTGTGCGTATGTGGGACCCTGCTGGCCTTCTCAAGTCTTTCTTGGATCACAGCAGACTCTGATGAAGGAATACTCCTTGTGGATAAAGGATTTGGCCCCTGCACTGTAACACTGACGCCTGAGGGGCAGTGCAGACAGGTGCAGCATGAGAACACGTGCCCTTACTTACTCACTTTGCCACTGCTGAGGATTCACCTGCCACAGCAGCTCAAAGAGCTGGAGAAGATCGTGGAGGACCTGCAGAAGCTGAAGGACAGTGTGGATGAACTGCGGGAGATCTGCGCAGACTGTACAGTAAGCCAAACTGAGAGAGAGTGTGGAAGGCACAGAGAGAATGAGCGTGAGACGCTGAGTGAGGAGACGGATAGACGTGAGGATGACAGAAACTGGGTGAATGAGAGACTTCAAGAGAATGGTTTTAAACAAGAGTGCAGCACAGTCAGTGTTATGGAAGGAGATGGAGACTCGGAAAAAACAGGCACTCTGGAAGAGAAAGAAAGAAAGAAATGGGAGACAGAAAGAGAGAGCAATGGAGGACTCATAAAAGAAAATGAGGAAGGAGAAACTCTGACAGAGGTGCTGGAAACTGACGGAACAACTCAATCAGACAGAGGGAAAGGAAAGGACAAAGTGGTTCCAACAAAGGTAACAACTGGTGGTGTAAATGAGGGAACAGTAGGAGAAAAGGTTGCTGACAAAAACAATAGGCAGGGGGAGAGAGACAGAAATAAAGACACTGCCGGAGAAGAGAATTCAAAGGGATATCAAGAGAATAATCTGGAGCATGGAAAAGAAAGAAAGACTTTCACTAATATAGATAAAACTGAAGAAAGTGATCATCACGTGTGGCAAGATAAAACAGAGGAAACAGAGACCCAAACTGCAGCCAGTGATAGGATAAAGATGTCAGAGAACCATGATGAGAATACAAATCAGGAGCAAGAGCAGAGCAGGGAGGAGAAGAAAAAGGAAATGGAAAAGAGAGTAAAAGTAGAGCAAAATAATGAGGAACGAAAACAGACCGAAAGCATCAGGCACACTGAAAAAGAAAAGACTATAAAAGAGGGGGGCGAGGGCAGAGAGACGGGAAAGGAGATCAAAACAGAAGACGAAGAGACAGAGAGTGGAGAGGGAGACGATAGAGAATTACCATCCAGCGAAGCAACTAAAAGGACAGACTTTGTTTCAATCAGCCCAACTCCTCACTCTACAATTAATATAGCTCTAGGGCTAGACTCTGTGGACTCGAATGAAGCTACGTCATCTATTCCATCTCCCCCAATGCCCAGCTCCACCTTGCATTATATCACAGATGTCAGTCACGAGATAACAACCCAAAACACAGGCCTTGTAGCAGCTGGGATTTCTAAGCCTCCAAAAGCTGATGCAAATACTCACACAGAAACTACAATGAGCACAGGGAGTGGACAACACATAACCAATCAAACTACTACATCCAGGTCAGGCCTCCACAGTCACATTAGTTCAACTATGACAACTACAGTCACCACAGCTCATCATCAGGATTCAACTGTAGGAGCTATAGATGACAGCCGCTGGACAGCTAAAAAGAACATCAGCTCAAATACTAAGATTGGAGCAAAACCTCTGCCAGGCCAAGGACCAAAGCCTGGCAAAAGACCAAAATACAACCAAAAGAAGCATCCTTTTCACCACAAACCCAGAATCGACCAAAGACCTAAACCTCAACCTGGCAAAGACCCAAAAGGAGTCGAAACTTCAAAACCTAAGCAAAGAATTCCCCCTCATATTTTACCCACTGATCAAAATTTGAATAACGATTCTATACCTAAATATGGCCAAAATTATACATCTGATCAAAACAAGTTACCTACTCAAAAGTCAAAACCTAATGAAAAGACTGTGACTCCTATTTGGACACCTCCACCACATCACAGACCTCAGAATGCAAACACCGCCGGATCTGATGAATATCCTGATCAAGTTACTGCTACTAATCAAACCGAGATTGAACCGAAATCCGAGAAGGGAATAGTCCATAATCCAAAAACTGAGAAGCCGGACCAAAATCAAAAAATAGAAAAATGGTCAAAAGGTGGAGAAAAAACAACAACTGACCAAAAACCTGGCTACAGTGGGACATCTGATGAAAATCCAACGCAAGTGTCTTATTTTAATCAAGATTCCATATCTGGAAAGAAGACCACACCTGATCTAACGAAAACACCCCCCAACCAAAAGTCTAAAATCACGCAGATCATCCCTACAAAACAAAAACCTGTCCAAGAGCCTGAATCAAAAGAAAGTCCAACAGCTAGCTACACAGAAAAAGCTAAACAAAATGAGACATCTGATGAAAATCCCTTGCATGTGTCTAATTCTAATCA